AAGAAAACAACTATGGATTAATAAAATAGGATCAAAATAGGACTAGGAATCGTTAACCAACAACTATCCTTCAAATTCTCTCGAAAAATCAGTTTCCACCGAGCTCCAAATTGAAATTTTGTGATAAGAAATTTCAAACCCTCAAAATCCCCTTTTCTGCCAGCGATTTCCGCTTCTGCGATCGTAAGACCGCATCTGCGGTCCCGCTTCTGCGGCTAGATCTCCACACCTGCGCAAATTCATTAACTGTCCAGCCTCCGCACCTGTGCACCTATATCCGCATATGCGAATGCACTTCTGTGCTAACTTGTCCTCTTCTGCGGAACTTCACTTCTTCCCCAAATCCGCTTCTACGATCACTCCTCCGCAGATGCGGCTTCGCTTTTGCGGCTCTTGCATCACATCTGTGATCACTGACCTTCATACCTAAAATCGCACCTACGACCCCGTCCTCTCTCCTGTGGGCCGCACCTGCGGACTTCCCACCGCAGGTGCGAAAACACCAAAACTAGCAAAACTTCAGATTATGCTCAAGTCCCAATTTTCACCCGTTGAGCATCCGAAACACACCCTAGGTTCCCAGGACCTCAACCAAACATACCAACCGATCCTCATACACCATACGAACTTAGTCGAACCCTCAAATCACATCAAACAATGCTAAAAACTCACATCACGCTCCAATCCAAACTTAATGAACTTGAAACTTAAAAATTCTACAACCGATGCCAAAACCCACGAAACCACGTCCGATTGACCCCAAATTTTGCACACAAGTCATATTCAACACTACGGACCTACTCAAACTACCAGAATCGGATTCTCACCCCGATATGTCAAATTCCCCTACCTTCCTGAAACTCCAAAAATTCAACTTTCGCTATTTCAAGCCTAAATGAGATACAGACCTCCAAAATACAATACGAATACGCCCCTAAGCCCAAAATCACGCAACAGAGCTAACGAAATCAACAAAACTCCATTCCGGATCCATCTTCACACTGTTCCAACAATGGTCCAAATTCTAAGGCTTAACCTCTCATTTAGGGACTAAGTGCCCCAATACCCTCCGAAACTCAAAATGAATCATCCCGGCAATTCACAATAGCAGAAATAGATACGGAGGAAACAATTAATAGGGGATCTGGGCGTTAATTCTCAAAACGACCGTCCGGGTCGTTACACGAATATTAGGCATGATTCCATGAGGATATAATATAGGAAATGCTGAGGCGTACGGCCCGACCCAACATAATATTTAAATTGTGCACTGCCGAGGGTCGAACGGCATGAACCATAGATGCATCTATTAACCTACCGAGGCAAATGGCCCGCTCCCCTGAGAGTGTGGTGCACAAATCCTACCGAGGCGAACGGCCCGATCCCATAAGAGTGAAATACATAATCCTGCTGAGGCGATCGGTCCGATCCCATAAAAGTAAGAAGCTTTAACGGGTCCTTGACCCCATTCACGAATAAACGTGCAAATTATAATGTCTTTAACAAAACCTTTTAGTGAAAACATATATATATATATATATATATATATATATATATATATATATCGCCGAATCATTTCGTAAGAGGAGTACAATTACTCAATGAGTAATCATGAACTCATGATGTCTCTACAATAGTCCGACTAGTCTTACGTAGTAATGTAAAACAGAGGAATTTAATAGGCAAGAGACTACTTAAATAGTACAGCTATAGCATGATGTGAACCTAAGCGTACCTAGACAATAACATGAATGTAGCTACGTAAGGGATCTCGTCACCTTGCGCATACATAGCCTCCACAACAAGTAGCACATATCAATTTACAATACCTAGGGGTAATTTCCCCCTCACAGGGTTAGACAAGAGACTTACCTTTCCGAAGTTCCATAACCGGCTCCAACACCACTCTAACACCTAAAACTGATGCCCAACGCTCCAAAAATAGTCAAATAAAGTGCAAAGCAATGAAAATATACTCTAATAATCATAACAATTCAATTTTAAAAAATTCCCAACTCCGCTCAGAAAGTCGATGAAATCACCCTCGGGCCCACGTGCCCTGATTCCAAATTTTTTTCAAAGATAAACATTACCCATAACATTACGAACGCATGTATAAGGTTTATTCTAAATCTAATGCCTAAATTCGTGGTCAAAATCCAAAAATATAAATTTCTAGGTTTTTCTTCAAAAACCCCAAATTTCCACTAATTTCCCATGATTTTCCATGTTAATATCCAGATATAATCCAAGTATTTAACTTGCAATAGGTGGGAATCACTTACCTTGACGTAGACGATGAAGATGGAGCTCCAAAATCGCTCCTAGCTCGTCTCCCATGGAGGAAATGAGATGAAATGAGCCCAATCCGTTTTGCAAAATTATACACTGCCCACGCGACTGTAAGGCCCCGTAAAAATTTATGCTCAAAACCCGGTAGCTCGTAGTGTTAAGTTCCGGATAAGTGCTGGCAATGTGTAAATCCAGACCCTTTGAACCGAGCTAAACATTCGAAAAATCAAAGAATCAAAGTTTTCCAGAAAAGTGCTATTTTGCGGTCCAAAATACGGTCGCAAATCAAGTATGCAGACCGCATTTCTGCCGCAGATTGAGTCAGTGGTTTGGTTAAAATTGAGGTCAAAATGCGGTCCATTATGCGATCACATAACTGATATGCAGACCGCATTTCTATCGCAAATGAGTCCTTGTGCCAGTCAAAATTTAAGGTCAATTATGCGGTGCATTATGCGACTGCAGATCGTGTATGCGGATCGCATTTCTGCCGCAAACCCAGACAGTAGGATCAGAGTTTTGGAGCACTTTTGTGATCCATTATGCGGACCGCATTTCCACTCTGTGATTGCAAAGTGCGACCGCAAACCTGACTCGGTCTCATATTTTTTTCTAAATTTTAAACCCGACCCCCTTTTAATAAAATACCCCAATCCCTCATTTTAACATACTTTCTGAATAAAATAAGAGAGAGGGAAGAGAGGGTTCTTGAGAGAGAAAGTTCACCTTTACCAACTTGATTTTCAAAGTCACCCAGGCCCGGGAAATTTCAAGTAATTGTCTTCACTTCCGTTCTTGCAGGTAAAATCCCCAACCCTTTTTCATTGGGTTTCATATTTAAACAAAAAGGGGGATTCTCACGCGTTGATTCTTGAAAACAAAGTTGAAATACACATGCATGTCCTTTAAAAGCAAAAATCTAGTAAGAAGAATTGGGTGGGAGTAAAGAATTATAAAAGAAGGGTTGATAACCAAAATGAGTTCGGGTAGTAATTGTGAACTTCAATTCTAAGATTTATGTGTTAACTTGTGAACTAGATTGTCGATACTAGGCTATTCGTGAGCCGAAGTAGAAGTAAAAAGGGGAAATTCGATTCCAAGTATGTATGGCTAACTTTAACCTTTGTAAAGTCACCCTGTTTGGTGTACAAGTTGTTGGTATGCGTTTCTTATGTGGACTATTTGTGAATTCTGTTTGCTTCATGGGTGTTAGGGCAAGATGGCCTATTTCATGAATTCTTGTGACTAAATTGCATTGAACATTATTGGTTAACGTTCCGATATGACAGTGTGAATAAATGGCAACAAACTAAGTGTGTTTGTGAATGTGTTTATGTGGTAAGGGCTGTGAAATAAATGATGGAAAGAAGCCATAATTGATGCAATTGAAACAACTTGGTAATATCATATGTGATTTGTCGTGGGCAACTATCATTGTAACTTAAATTGTATATGGGCTGTTATATATGATGGAAATGGTATTGAGGTTAATGAAAACTCATTGTGAAATTGTTATTGTTGTTGTGAAATGATATTTTGGGTGGCCTGAAGCCTTGTGATTGAACCGTGAACTAATGTTGTTGTGTGAAATGTGATTGTCCGGTGGGATCGGGTTGCGCGCCGCAACATGAAGTTATAAGGTGTGGGTTGTGGTGATAAGGGCGGCCGAGGTAATAAGGGTGGAAAAGTGATCGAAATCACTATTGAAATGAACATATGTGAAATTTGTGAAATCATTGATGTGATGAAATGATGTTGGAAGGAAAAAAGGAGAGAGTGTGAAACTTGTTTGACTTTGGTTGTTCCTTTCATGTGCATTTGATTGTTGATTCTATTACTGTACGTTACTTGTGTATTGTTTGAGTTTACTTAGGGTAAGGTTTGTTCATACATACCAGTACAATTCAAATGTACTGACGTCCCTTTTGCCGGGGCGCTACATTCGTGTTATGATTGTAGGTGGATCTATAGCAGGTACTCCAGTCCACCGACCGTAGCACTCCTTCACTTCCCGTCAGCTGAATTGGTGAGCCCCCTTTCCTCCCGGGGCCCTGCGTGGCTCATGCCGCTTTTATTTCGGAGTCTTGTTTTGGTATTTGTGTAAGGTATAGCTGGAGCCTTGTTACCGGCAAGTATTGTATCATCCTTTTGTATCCTTAGAGGCTCCGTAGACAAGAAATGTGGGTTGTGAACTTATGTAATATGTATTTTGTATGTTGGGGCGATGTAAGTTGTAAACCACGCTAAGTAACCATGTTTGTTATGTATATTTCGTAAAAAGGTGTTTTAATTATAAATGGCTATTTCTTGATTAGCGAGTAATGAAAAACACGGGGTAACATGAGGGATAGCAAAAGGCACCCAGGTCCGCTTAACTGGGCTACCCGGTCGAGCGCCGGTCATGTCCCTCGGTTTTTGGGGCGTGACAAACTTGGTATCAGAGGCTAAGGTTTTAAAAGAGTCCTAGGATGTGTCGGAGACGTTTCTAGTAGAGCCCTTCTTATCCGTGTGTTATCGACCACATCTATAAGTAGGGGGCTGCATAGACATTTAGGAAATTACCCTCTTCTTTGTTATTCTATATCGTGCGATGAAGTGAAATGTGAAAGTGTCTATGTTTAACTCGTGCTCTGCTTCGAATTTTTCAGTAATGGCACCTAAAGAGAGCCAGACTCGGTATTGGGGCCAATGCCACCCCGAGTGTGGCTATGGATCATGTACTTGATGTCGTGGGTGAGAGTGACTCCCCAGTCTTGAATCTACCTGGCCCATCTATTCCAGATCAAAGTGTTCATGTTCCTGCTGCGACAGAGGGTGCTACCATCCCTCCCGCCGATATTCCTTATTCTGATGCGGTTCCAGCTTCCTGTCCCGGGGTTCCTGATGGGGACCTTAGAGGATCCATCCGAATGTTGACCTAGTTAGTGGCCGCTCAGGCCCAGAGATCTCATGATACCCCTGCGTCCTCCAGCGGACAGGGAGATTCCTCCAGCTCCAGAGTCAACCAGTTTCTGCGGTTAGCCCCTTCAGAGTTCTCAGGCACAGACCTAGAGGCCGATCCGCAAGATTTCCTTGATGAAATGTATAAGACCCTTCGAGTGATGAAGGCTTCAGAGACGGAGGGAGTTGAGTTGGCTTCATACAGGTTGAAGGGAGCAGCGTATTCGTGGTTCGAGATGTACGAGGATTCCCGTGGGGAGGGAAGACCTCCGGCTAGATGGGATGAATTTGTAGATGCATTTATGGACCACTTCTTGCCTACCGAGACAGTGGCAGCCGTGCCACTGAGTTTGAGGTCCTCAAGCAGGGCAGTATGAGTGTTTGGGAGTACCACATGGAGTTTGTGAGATTGTCCAAGTATGCTCCTCAGTTAGTGTCGACCATGTATACTCGAGTTCGGCGATTCGTTCAGGGCCTTAGTCCTTTGGTGGTGAATGAGGCTGCTACAGCGGCCTTACACTCGGATATGAATTATGGAAAGATTGTGGGATTCGCTCAGGCCACAGAGGCTAGAAAGTTGAAGATACGGACGGAAAGGGAGAGTAGCAGCAGAGCCCGATCAGTAGGTCACTCAGGGAGACCCGTTCAGGGGAGAGGGCCATCATGGCCATCCCAATCATATGCTCAGTCTTTAACGAGCGCACCGCCATCTGTGCACAGTCATCCGCAGAGCAGTCACTCAAGACTAGGTTCAGACACTAGGAGACCCCATCAGTCCGGTCATTCTGGAGGAAGATCACGGCAGCAGAGAGGGCTCCATGCCCCAAGTGTGGGAGGTTCCATTCCGAGACTTGTTATTTGGATATCCCGGTGTGTTATAGATGCGGGGTGAGAGGTCATATCCAGCGGGACTATCGTGGGCCCAGTCAGGGCATGGGTAGGGGATTTGCTCAATCATCTGGTTCTTCAGCCGCCACATCATCTGTGCGTCCTCCAGCCCCATCAGGGCGTGGTGCAGTTAGGAGTGGAGCTCGTGGTAGAGGTGGACCCAGCCGGTTTTATGCTTTGAGTGGTCGCCAGAGTGCAGAGGCTTCTCCAGATGTGGTTACAGGTATCTTGTCTGTTCAGGCCATTGATTGTTATGCTCTTATTGATCCAGGGTCCTCTTTGTCTTATGTCACCCCATTCATTGCTTCAAATTTTGGGATAGAACCCGAACAACTTCATGAGCTGTTCTCCGTATCGACTCCGGTTGGTGATTCTATTACAGCCGCGCGAGTTTACATGTATTGTGTTGTCATGGTATGTGGTCGTGTTACCACGGCCGATCTTATCGAACTTGGCATGGTGGATTTTGATGTGATTATGGGTATGGACTTGTAAGGCCCCGGAAAATTTTGCTAGGCGATATAGGATTTCGGGGTGCCAGGTAGACTAATTGTAATATTTTATGTGCTTTAAATATGATTCAAATGAATTGGACGTGGTGAATAAGTGTATGAGTCATGAAATAAGTGATGTGAGGTCCAAAGGGAAGCCTAAGTCTAAGCCAAGTTGGAAAATTTCATAATAGGCTATGATTTGAAATGAGTTTGCACAAGTCCTCACTTTGGAAGAGCATATCTTCGTGTATATGATGAGTTGTGGGATGCACAACCTATCAAATTAAAGCTCATTGAGTCCAGTTTCCGACGCATCAAACCGTTCGTCATTTGGAGGTGTATACAGAAAGTTATGACCATTTTCGTGTCCCTTCCGTCTCCAGCGCCATGGGTAGCACCGGGCGCTAGCCGTGGCGCCAGGAATTTTTGAGCTACTGGAATCAGCGCCACAGGCAGCGCCCAGCGCCACCTGTGGCGCCCGAAACATTTTATATACACAATTTCGGGGTTCATTTTTACCCATTTCATTTGGACGAACTTGGGGTTCTTCTTTCACCCTCTCAAGACCTTCAACTCCCCAAATCTTCAAGGTAAGCAACCTCCATTTACTTGGTGTAAAATTCCATCATTCCTACCCTAGTATTGATGAAATCTTCTCATAAAACACATAGATTTTCAAGAAATACCTTCAAGAACTCAAAGGAGGGTTTTGCAAAATTTGTTCCAAAAGGTAAATCCTACATCTTAGACTTACATATATGAATATATTATGGAAATATGAGTATGAATTAAGTGTTGGAACTCTTGGTGTAGGGATTGGAAGCCATAAGTTCCCAATATAAATACAAAATTATTGTAGATATTGAAAGGGTGATTATTTGATATGATTTATTGGTTGGGTGTGAATGGATGGTTACACATCTGTTGTTGGAAGTTATAAATTGGTTAGGAATGATGGTAGAATAAATTGTTGGTTAATGGTGATAGTTGGATGATTTAATACTATGGTTATGAGATGAAAAGATTTATACCTACAAGGCGTTTGATAATATGCCTAAATGGCTTAAGTTATGGAATTTGTTACTAATATTGGCCATATTGAATGTTGTATTGTAGATTGAAGTTGCTTAAGTGTATTGGATCATTGTAGTATCATTATGGGGCGAATTTGAGGTATGTATGGCTAACTTTAACTCTTGTAGAATCCCCTTGTTGTGACGAGCATACGGTATGTGTACCCTGTATGAAAATATGTGTATTGATTGTCTTAGTTGATTTCCACACCACCATGTTATATGGGATTGTGAGAAGTGATTTGATGTGCCTACCTTATTATGTGCAAAGTTTGTAAACGCTTGAGGATACCGACGTGGAAGTATGAGTTAACGAATGAAAGAATGTTAATGTGTCCAAATGTGGGAATGTGTATAATGGCTAAAAACCCTGCGTGGTAAGTAATGAAAGAGGGTATTATGAAATGACGTAAATAAGTTAAACGATTACGACAACACCTTGTACATGAATTACTGCTTGGTGACAGTTATGGTGCCTTGGGCCCAAATGTATGAATTGTTAATATGAACTTGTGTTTCTTTGAAATGATGATTCTTGTGATGTATTGTTTATGGTTGTGATTACAAAATGTGATTGTCAGGCGGGGTCGGGTTGCGCGCCGCAACACGAAGTAATAGGTGTGGGTTGTGGTGATAAGGGTGGCCGAGGTAATAAGGGTGGCCGAAGTAATAAGGGTGGAAAAGAGATAGAAATCACTATTGAAATGTACATATGTGAAAGTTGTGAAATCATTGATGTGATGAAATAATGTTTAAAGGGGAAAAGGAGAGACCGTGAAACTTGTTTGGCTTTTGTTGTTCCTTTCATGTGCATTTGATCGTTGATTCTATTACTGTTCGTTACTTGTGTATTGTTTGATTTTACTTGGGGTAAAGTTTGTTCATACATACCTGTACAATTCAAATGTACTGACGTCCCTTTTGTCGGGGGCGCTACATTCGTGTTTTGATTATAGGTGGATCTATAGCAGGTACTCCAATCCACCGACAGTAGCACCTCCTCCACTTTCCGTCAGCTGTATTGGTGAGCCCTTTCCTCTCGGGGCCTTGCGTGGCTCATGCCGCTTTCCCTCCCGGAGTATTATTTTGGTATTTGTGTAAGGTATAGCCGAAGCATTGTTGCCGGCATTTCCATATTATTCTTCAGTTGTATTTAGAGGCTCCGTAGACAGGTTGTGGGTAGTGGCGGGTATTGGAATTTAAAATAGAAATATTGATGTTTGGCAATGATGTATAAAACTTGTAATACCTTTAAAACTTGGTATCAGACCCTAAGGTTTTAAAGTGTCCTAGGATGCCTCGGAGCAGTGTCTAGTAGAGTCCTTCTTATCGGTGTGTAGTCGACACATCTATAAGTTGGAGGCTATTCGGAAAATTAGGAATTTCACCCTTCTTTGATACTCCAATCGTGCGATAGAGCTCAAGTTAGGGAGCTGATTTCCTCTCTAAGTCTTATTCTCAAGATTGGTAACCTTAATACCATAATCCGCGAATTTGAAGCATGTAAGGAGGGATTGATCCCACCATTGAGTCCGAGTGGATTGCCCAAGGACTTGTTAGGAGAATGTGTTGAGCTGTGGATGGATTGGTAAAACATATCGCTAAGAGGGGGAGTGTCCTTGTCCCTATTGATGTCTCTACACCATCAGATCGTGTAGTATATCAGTATGTTACCTACCTATGTACGTTAGGGATGTGGAGTCGAGGGGTATCGATTAAGCTATTGCCCTATCAACCTAATGTCATTAAGTGAGTCAAATGAAAATTTCTACTCATTGTATATGTACATCCATATTGAAGAGTCCTCATAAACATGGTCTTAACAAGATGTTGAATGACAAAACATTGCATGTATCGACTCTTTGAACGAGACGCACTATTCGTGAATCCACTCTGTTATGAATTCTCTTATTTACATTCTTGTGGAATTAAGTTCTATAATTATGCCCTTGAATTGAGTTATAACTCTAGGATTGATACTTCCCACTTGCTTTTCCTAAATTCTCACCAAGGGACTATATCCGATGAATTCCTTACAGAATCTTTTCATTTAAATGGACAAAATCTACTCGTTTGTGCCTATACATGCACCGTCGTAAAGTTTACCTATGTGGTGTCAAGTTCCATTCAAAGCATCCCAGCGTTGCGATCCTTCTCGAGTCACTCTTTTACTAAGTTGTGTATATGTCTTATATGGTTTGAACAGTCAATCTACTCTCTTGCGAATATCATCATGAAAGCTTCTCACTGACTAGTAGTATAAGAGCATACCTTAACACCTCACATGAGTGCATGTCAATCGAAATGGTCACCGTGTGCATAAAGTCTCTCTAAAAAAAATGAGATCCTCACATCCACGTCATAGGAAGATCTTGTGTCGCCATAACTTTCGTGTCCACTTGGGACATCCCGCGGTAAGTAGCTCACTTTGTCCTAGTATTGTGATTGCTCGTGGCATGGTCGTATATTGCAGTTGGGAGT